AAAGAGTGTGTGAGAGGTGGCGCAGATGTGTGACAGCGGGGTGAGCCCCCTCCTGTGGTGAGAAGAGCGCAGTGCAGAGCAGGCTCAGACCCCCGGCTCATGGCTCAGTTCACAGCATTTCTGGCAGTCTGTGGGCTCAGTCGGAGTCTGAGCCCGATGAATCTTCAGAGCTGGAAGCACTGCTGCTGCTTTCTGATTTATTCTCTTTATCCTCAACCTCTTCGTTCTCAATGTCTTCTTCATTCTGGAAGTGAATTTGGAAAGATTATCTTTCATTATTTTCATTCAAAGTATGACTAGGTTTATCAGTTGTCGTTAAAAATTCCCTATGGAGAAAACGAACAGTATTTTTCTGGAACCCGATTGCTGCTCTCCATATTTCTAATCAATGACAAAACCAATATTGCAAAATCAAAGGCTGATCCTATATCATATATACATGTTAAAAGAGCAATGTGACCAGCATGCTATGAATCTTACATCGTCATCATCGCTGTCGTCATCGGAGGATGATCCGTCTTCAGATTCCTTCTCTTCATCATCATCGTCATCATCATCATCATCGTCGTCGTCATCATCATCCTCTTCCTTTGGACAAGGTCACAATTGATACAGAACAATCAATCAGTAGGCCTACATGCTGCTAAACATGTACATGGTGACCGATAAATGCAGAGTGATTTAAGACTATGTATGATCAAACTCACCGATTGTTTGGCCTTGGGTTTTGCTTTAGCAGCGGTGCCACCTGGTTTTGCTGTGCTCCTCCGTTTCTGCAGAAATGTTTAAGAAAAAACCTTAAACAGACAGAACTGCAGGCAGGGAGTGTTACAGAAGAGCCAAATTTAAATATTTTATTTCTTCTTAAATGATTAAATATTACCATTTTACATACAAAATATAAACATTGATTTGAGAAACATCTTATGGTATATAATTCAAGTCTATTTTGACAAGTTAGACTGCAATACTGAGTAGATCCAAATTTATGACTCACCAGAGAATTATATTCTTTATAAGTAGCTCTCTCTTGTGATGATAAACTCTGTGAAGGGGAAAAAATATAATATTACCGTTGTAATATTAGATCTTTATATTAAGCTATTTGTGCTAGTGTTGAATAGGTTAAATAACGGTAAAGATACGTACCGCAAGCCACTGCTCGAGCAGCACTTTGTACTGTCTCTGTTTCTCTTCTGCCAGTCTTTTGTAGCGGTCCTTCTCTTTCTGAGGGAGCCGCTGCCAGCGGCCTCCGATTTCACCCATGCGCTCTTTCATGGGCAGATGATTCAGCTCGCCGTTTGACAGCATCTCCTGAGAGAACTTCTGATAGCCGTTCCTGAAGTCACAGGTGAAGAGGGCATGAATGAAAAGAGTGGGAAGGTAAGACAAGTGAGCTGCCTCAAACAAACCAACAGCTTTTTCCTTGTAGAGGTTTAAGATTTGTAGATAACCATCACACACAGAACAAACTTACGAGGGCGGTTTCTTAGGTTCACCATCAAATTTCATTTTCTTCCCAGGGGTGACGACTGGGGCAGGTGATCGCATCTCACTCAGCTCTCTCTGCACAAGACAGAAGAATAAAAAGGGTATGAAATCTTGCACACACAAAGTCAGACAGCAGACATATGATCAGTTACTTTATTCAAGGCAGTTTGACTTTAATGCCACAAAATGTTTGAATATGTCTGAACTCACTTCATATCTCTTCTGGTCCTCTGCAGCCTTCTTGATCCACATGATCTTTTCTTTCTTCTCCATGGTGTTCCAGGTGGCCTCCATGGCTTTTTGAGCTTTCACTCGATCATTCTGAGAAAGCAAAGAAGAGGGAGAGATCAGGGGATAATCTATTATTTGATAATAAATTATTTTCATATAGTGCTGGGTGGTATAACAGTATATACTGTCATAAAAAAAGTGTCAACTGTTATATTCTTATTGGCACAACTTTTAAAGGGTTACTCCACCCCAAAATGAAAATGTTGTCATTAATCACTTACCCCCATGTCGTTCCAAACCCGTAAAAGCTTCGTTCGTCTTCGGAACACAATTTAGGATATTTTGGATGAAAACCGGGAGGCTTGTGACTGTCCCATTGACTGCCAAGTAAATAACACTGTCAAGGCCCAGAAAAGTATTAAAGGCATCGTCAAAATAGTCCATCTGCCATCAGTGGTTCAATCTGAATTTTACGAAGCTACGACAATACTTTTTGTACGCAAAGAAAACAAAAATAACGACTTTATTCAACAATTCATCTCCTAC